AAGTCTACTATGAATTGGGCCAGGATCATGATATGACTAAAATACAATATATATATATATATATATATAAAAATGTCTAGGGTTTTTTGACCAATCTAGATCAGTGGTTCCCAATTAGTTTTTCCTGCGTACCACTTCAAGAAAGAGCTCAAACTCGCGTACCCTTTATAGCAGAAATTCATATTAAACCATATTAATATTATAAATTCGAAGGTAATTCTGTCTGTCTGTCTATTACCTTTGCACGTCTAAACTGCTGAACAGGTTTTAATAAAATTTGGCACAGAGATAGCTTACATGTTGGAGATAGACATGGGCTACATTTTACTGCAAAAAAATATCTTACTCCCACGAGAAAATTCGATATAATGCAGGGAAAGCTGTGGGTAAACAGCTTGTGATAAATAGAATAAGTTTTTTTTTACATTTATTACCTTTAAAATACAATTCTAATAATAATGAAAATAACATAAGGTTATTTAATTTTAATGCGACAAATGTGCACGATTTTCTTTGCACAACTTTGTAAAATCTGGTTGCTTTTTGATCAACTTCAGTCTCGAGTCATCTTCGAGTTGAAGTTGGTGACGATGTTTTCATGTTTGTCATGGCCAAAAATCCACTCTCGCAGAGGTATGTTGTGCAAAATGTTAGTAAATGTTTTATTACCGCTTCACTGACATGATAGTAATGATAATTGTACAATTAACACAAATTGTGTTAATTGTACAATTTTTGTTTCTTGCATGAGAATTTCATTTAGGTATTGTCACAAACGCATTTTTTGATGAAATTTCGAGAATATTTTTAGTTATAAATAAACAAATTTGTGCATTCGACATCATGTTGTAAATTGCCAAATTTTTGATGGTCCACCCATTAGTTTTTTGATTTCTTCATCTCATGCATTTAAATTTTAAATCGACCAATTTTAGATTGCCATGCGTACCCCTTCATGCAATTTCACATATCCCTGAGGGTACGCATACTACTAATTGGGAACCATTGATCTAGATCTTTATCAGGTTCCCAGAGTAGTAGGGGGTAACATACAGTAATCACTTGTCCATCTGACCTTAACAATTTTGGCTATTATGTTTAACCTATGTATAACAACATTTTGGATTAAGCATTGGTTTATCTATATATACAGTGGGTGATCGGTTAACGAACAGATCGCATAACGAACACTTTCACGAAAGATTTTTATGTTCGGACAACGAACACATGATCGGATAACGAACACCCCACAGAACAAACACAAGAAGAAGCGACGTAAATTAATGAATACTGATTGGTATTCCTTTGTCTTCGGGCAACAATTCGAAACTTTTCGGAGTGTGGGAGACGTCGACATCGACGCTCAAGCCAATATATACCGATTGGATATTATTCCTCTGAACTTTGAAACTCTTCCTTGTAATTTCAGCCTTTTATTTTTCTGACAAAACAATTATTTTATGTATTCGTGAGACTGTCGGGTAGGCACTCGTTAAGTTTTACGTCGGTTTTTCTTTTCGAAAGGTGAGAGTATAATAGCAAAGGTAGAGAGTGGGCAGAAGATGCCTAATGTTGCTGGGCAGTATGGCGTAAACAGGTCTACAGTAGGCTGAAGTTTAATCTTATTTAAGAAACATACTGTATAATCAAGAAGACTCAAGCAACTAAAGGAGTAACAAAAATCACATCTGAGAAATAAAGAATATCGAACAGTTCATAATAGAACACGAAATGGATCTGACGACAGAAGAACACCAAGAACTCTTGAATGAAGAACACCAAGAAACTCGGCGAGATATGTTTTCTTCTGAAAAAGAGGATTAATGCTGCTGATATCTTATATTAAAGATCCTTTGAAGAAGTGGGAGGATGTCAGAACAACGGTCTTAGAATGGCATCCAAACCAGGTTAAGGCTTGGGGATTTCTGCAATTGCAATGCTATTAATTACTTACGAAAAATCCTGAAGACGAGAGAAAAGCAATCGACATTAGACAGATTCTTTAACCCTTTCAAACAGAAAAAAACACGACTAATAAAAACGCAAGACTATATATGTATGTATTTTTATTATCATCAATACATATAAATAAAGGTAGTAAGAAAGTATATATTTTTTATTTTGGGGGGATCTCCAGAACCAATTAATCAAATTCCCATAGAAACCTATGGTAAATCGATAATTGGTTAACGAACAATTCGGATAGCGAAGAAAGTCTTGGAACGGATTATGTTCGTTAACCGATCACCCACTGTATAAATAATTTTTGTTTGTTTATTTGTTCATTATAAACTCCTAGGTCATTTGACCAATTTCTATGAAACTCAGCAGTTACGTTCACATACTTCTAATTTAGATAATGTCATACATCCCATCCCAAAGTATTGATTGGATTTCTATAAATCAATTAATTTCTATCTACATTAGATTTGTTGGCTTTACACATAACACCATCTATTAGCAAAAAATTTAAGAAAATAATAAACTAAATATAATTCTTACAAAATAGATATAATTTTTAAAAATATATATTTTATTCATTTAATTACTGTGACAATGATATAGCGTGAATTAGACATGCTACATCATTACTGCAACAGGTAGTATATACTCATAGAACTTGCCTGCATGGAATTGAAAGTGTTACCATGTGAAAAGTCAAAGTATTTAATTTTCCACCCCTAACAACTCGGGTTTTTTCATTTCTGAATGGTACTTTGATCACATGCAGGGCCATCACAACCTATCCAACACTGATTATTTTTCAAATATTAAAAGTAGACCAGTATTAATTAATATTAGAATGCAAAGGCATTCTATTCGTAGAACAGTTTTTCCATTCTACAGCTCCTGATGAGGGCCAATGAAATAGTGGCCGAAAACATTAGAATATTGAATTTCTTTGCTGGAAATTTTGCATTGAGGTATAATTTCTTATTTACAAGTAGAGTTCCAGTTTTCTGGTACAGTTGATGTTTACAGTATTAATTAGTAGTCGTTGACTGTCCTCTCTTCCAGGACAAGATCAACTACTACTTTTGGTTGAATTTACTTCAACCTCCTTCCGCAACACTCCCTTCTTTCTATAGGACCAACAGTATGGTGGCATTCGAATAGGAAAATTACATAAATACAAGGTTACCAGCCTTCACAAAATATGTTTTAAGTGGTTTTCAAGGGTGCTAAGTTCAAATATTTCATCAATTTTTCACAAAATCCCATTCATTGGAAGATTTCCATTTGATATTAGGCTGTGAATGGTACAGTTTCTAAGAGTAAACATTAGAAAAAATTATATCTGAAAATATTTAAGATATGATATTTTCAATTCCTGTCTACTTGACCAATGAAATTGTGTCATTTCATACCATCCGAGTATCACAATAAACATGACGATGGTAGGCTAAAATAACCAAACTGTTTATAGTTTCCATTTTAATGTTTGTTATATTATAGTATTTGATTTATATAACTACTAAGGTTATATTATGTAAGAGCTTACCACACCAATTGACCAACATAACACTTTTTAAAAATTCTTTATTCCTCTACTGTACACAATTTAAAGAATTTTTAGAAGTACACTTGATCACTTGGTGTTATAAACCCTTATGTAAGATAACCTTTGTAGTTATATAAATCAAATACTATAATATAATATAATAGAAGAGTTAGAAGTACAAAATAATCTAAAAATCTTAATCTTTCTTGTTGTTATTCAGCTATAAAATAAACCAATCAAATGCTGTTTAGTGAGAAGGTTATTTTTTCAAAATATTTCATTTAAATTTAAAAATTATGATAATAAATTAACTAAGCAGAACCCTATTGTTTTCCTTATCATTCTTCTTTGCAGACAAAATATGTCTACAAGGAAGAAATAAAATAGTGATTATTTCAATATACAAGTAATAACAATAAATAAATATTAATCATAAAAAAATCTACTTTATTACAGTAAAATAGCCCAGGGTATTAGAGCAGATGAGCCCTGTAAATATTCTTATATATAATATACTAGCAGATGAGGCTCATCTGCTAGTATTGTATATATAAGAATATTTAAAAACAACCTTTTAAGAACTGTCCTGATATATCTCATCACCTTTTGACTGTTCCATTATAGTCCTGACCAAACTCATGAAAAGACTGAAAAAGTCCTCTTAGTGTCAACAACATAGAAAGAGTGAAAAAAAGCAAAAGTGCTAGGAATGTGGTTTATTAATAGTTACTCTAATAAAGTAGATTTTTTTGTAAATAATATTTATTTATTGTTATTACTTGTATATTGCAGTATTTTAAAGACAAGTACAAAGAAGCAGTTGCTATTTTATTTATTCCTTGCAGACATATTTTGTCTGCAAAGAAGAATGATAAGGAAAACAATAGCGTTCTACTTAGTTAATTTATTATCATAATTTTTAAATTTAAATGAAATATTTTGGAAAAACAACCTTCTCACTAAATAGCATTTGATTGGATTATTTTATAGCTGAAAACAATACTTTAATAAATATAAGTACTATCATAATTAAAATTCATCATAAATGTTTGGATTGTAGATCCAAAAATCTACGGAAAAAGTAAAATAGTTTTTAGATTTTGACAAGGATGAGATGAAAGGAGAATTTCCAGAGTCTGACTGTATTATACTATGATAATGATTTTTCAACTAAATATATTTTAAAGCTGTACAATATATTCAAATTAAAAATCATTTAAAAGTGCTTTAAAGTTATATAATTTAAAAATCATTCATTTAGAATGCTTTAAAAGTGTACGCTATGTAATTTGGTAAAGAATGTTGAAGCATTAGAAGCAATGTGATCAGCCAAAGACTCGTCACAGCAGACTATTACAGATTCTACATGTGACAACAGATAAATAAAATGTTAAAATGTAAAATTTTGTAATAATGATAAAAAAAAGTTTAATTTTTCTGTATTTAAAAAATCATTTATTGTGCATTTATATACAAATAAGGATTCTAAAATAGTTACCTGGTATTACAAACTGCAAAGTGTAAGCATTTCTATATTTCACAGGTACTTTGTGGACTCCGTCTCCATTCAGTAACACTTGAATCTTTTGTGTTTCATTTATGGGATTTTTTAATATAACAAATACTTTACCATTTCCCTAGAAATATTTAAGTAAATTTTAAATTAATATTTATATAATTTAAATATTCATTTAAGTATTTTAAAATAATTATCNATAATTTAAAAATATATAATTTTTTAAAAATAACAATACAAGCATTTTAAATTTCACTTGATCAAGAAAACTTTATAGGAATAATACTTGATTAGTATAAAACCTGAGATGTTGAGCCCAAATAATCCTTATCTGCAAACTACAAGACAAAAATTATGTAAAAATCAAAGATATTTTTTATATTCTTACCCGGTAATGATTTTCATTAAAGTTTAATACCAAAGGATATCTTAATAAATAAATACAAGGTCTTCCGAAAAGAATGTTACAATTTTAAATTACTGTTATTATATTAATTTTTATCTGAGAAAGTTGTAATGTACATTAAAACATTTGAAAACTATTAAAGTTTCACAGTCGCACATTAGAATTTCTCAATGCTTACAACTTGTATCAGGCATACATCCAACCAATACTCAAATTCTTCCTATACAGAATATCCATTGTCACTTCTCTCATGGCAGGGATTACTTATGTACACAACGAGTGATTCCAACTTTACAAACTGCAGAATGAAAAATGTCTTCTTTGTTGTGAAGTTGCCGTTATTGTTTATGGCACTTCCCAGAGGTAGTAAACGACAAGACATTTGAATGCAGATGGCCTGGTGCAATGGTTTTGTCTACAGTCTACATTTGTATATATGAGTCAGGATATTTATTTGGATTAAGTGCTTTTTGGGGGTTGTTCATAAATGACATTCACACTGGAATGGAGGGAGGAGATTATGAAAAGTTGGACAAGGGGAGTGGAGGGGAGGGATTGAACTTCAATGGATGTCTGTTTTATTTCATTAAATTTTATACAGTTTATGCATTTTATTATTCATAAAATGATAAAGGTTTTGTGGGGGGTTGAGTTTTGTTGGACTTTAAAGATGGGAGGGTTTACAGAAACTCGGACAAACTGTGGCAATGGGAAAAGGGGGAGTAAAAATTTCAAAAAAAATGTAGATGTAATTTACAGGCAGCCCTTCGGATTTTCAGGTGAAGATAAAATGGGATGAAGCTAAAGATGGGGTTGAAAATCCTGAAAAGCACTTAATCCAAATAAATATCCTAACTCCTTTAACCCTTTTGAGTTTCTTTCTTTTGTTTAATTTCTTAAATAGACTTGTAAATGTAATATAATTAATAGCTAATATAAATTATAACTTCTCTCTAATAAACAAATACAATTTTTTATAAACTGTTTAAACAATGATAATTTACCATAAAAATATTTGATTTGGCATCAAATAAATCTGTATTCTAATTTTGGTTTGATATTGTGATGTAATTTTAGAATGATTAACCGTTTTTAATCCAAAAAATAAATTGAATAAATTCTGCGTGGAATGAAAAAATTTGTCATTAATAGCATGAGTTGACACTTTATTTCTCATTTGCTATCATGCTGGCTAGCATCGTTGACTGGACCTATTTATAAGCAAAGTTGTAACTTGCCATATAGATCTAATGTATTTCAACTTAACAAAAGATTCAGTCAAGTCTAAGAATATAAAGTACAAATAATACAAGTCTTATTACACAGAGCAATGATTAATACAGGGTCTTCCCCAAAATGAATGCTACTATTTTAAATTGCTGTAATTATGTTAATTATTGTCCAAGAAGTATGCAATGTACACAGTGCCGGCCCGAGACAAGTTTTAGGATGGAGCGAGATCTTATTATGGCGTCCCCCTTGGTTGCCCCTAATTTATACCCTTTAATTTTCTTTACCACTGAGACATCCCCTAGGACTTAGTGCCTGCATCAGAATATAAGCAATCAATAGTGGGCTATTTGATGATACTGCCATTCAATAGCCTATTACCAATTCATAGATTAATTGATTATAAATCTATGAATAATGAAATCATCAAAAAAAATGATGATAATATGAAATTTTATAAAGATATTTTTCTTTATTAAACATTTCTGATCTTTTGAACAACTGATTCTAACTTCATTCCTAAAAAATCCACATAATGCTTTTACAAGTTTCCCATTGCTCAGAGTTTAATATCTTTTTTATAAAACAATGAAAATTTGAAAGTAAATACAATCATTTTCTTGTTTTCAATGCCAATTTTTCCATAAAAATAATATATGAGTTGTTGATAACTCTTCTTTTAAAAAAAAATAAAAAATTGCAGTTATTTTCTGACAATTTTTTCTAATGTAACCATAAACTTATCTATTTTTATTTGTAGACATTGAAAAAACTGCGTTAACATCGACTATTACGTAAAAATTTCTGCCAGACGTCACTTTTAAAGATCAGAGACGTTTATCTTGGTTTCAACTGTCAGCAGTTGAAAATATAACATTTTTTGGGTTGATGTTATTTTTGTGTTTTTATGTCAAAGTCGCAATCAAGAAGATATGTTTTAATTACTGCGTCATGTCTTATATAGCCAATTTATTACTACTTTTAAAATACCAACAGTTAATCTTTTTTCCAAGATTCTCCTAGAGAAAGTTCAAAAATAGAATATCATTACATAAATATTAAAACTACTCTAATTAATCATTGTCTTATTAGTTTTAAGTAGCAGCATAGATAAAAAAAAATCATAGCATTTTTACAAATAACACTTCTTATGAATTTAATTTTAGAAAGGAGAATCAAAGTATCTGTACAGGATGTTATAAAATGTAAGAAGCCAGTTTGAATTGATAATTTATTTTTTAAATAATTTTATTCACATAAATGTGCATGTAACTTATTAAACAGAAGGGTGTTAAAGATGGTGTGCTTACAACAAAATCTAATTAGCATATTTTAGTTGAGAGAATATTCATTCTAAGACTGGTTCTTCATCTTTCATGAACAGTACTTCTACTACTATTTAATTGATATTCATCATCGGCATGAATGAAGCAACAAAGACTCTAACACTATCTAATGCAGATTAGGTGTTTCTTCTTTTACAATGTAATTTTTCCTGAAGATCATGAAAACATTTAAATAAATAAATTTTTATTGCATTAGATAGTTTTAGATTTGGTATTTGTACAAGCGCAGCTCCTACAAGAACAATAAGTTGAAGCAACATAAATGCAAGCTTGTCGCTTTGGAAAACATTAGTTTATTCGAAAAACATTTCTCTTAATGGACACGCATGTAAAAATTGGCATCTAAAATAATATACTACAATCTACCACAATATGATAGTGTGTGGCATTAAACATGTCTTAAAGTATAATAATTTATGCATAAATATAAAGCCAATATCAAAGATCTAAATACAAAATGAAAACAATTCTCACCTCTTTAACTTTTCTAGGTGATAACTTAAATTGGGGTTTCTGTATATGCGTCCTTTCTATGATTTCCTGTGTGGTATGAATGACAGCCACCACAAAATCCATATCTTGATCTCGAGCAACTAGATGAGGCCAAGAATCATAGTACACTAGAGATGCCTTATGAAATGTTGTTACATCCGAATCTAAGATGCCGCACAGCATAGCTACGGTTCGATTCTGTTTCAGCAACTGACCCAGCTCAAAAACCTCTGTGGGATGGGAGTCGATATATTCCAAAAAGTCGGGAGACAGAATGACTAGAACGGCCTTTGAATTGGAAAAACTCTGCACCCTCGAACAAGGAAGAGGAAAAGGGAGATCTTCTAATTTCTCGTGATTGATTTCTAGTGTAACTGGTTCCGAATCCAGCTGAAAACAGTCTGTGAGATACTGATCCCATTCTTTTCCATCTTGACTATACAAGATTGTCAAATCTGGTGTTGACATGGCAAACTTGGAATCTGCTGTGAATAAATTATCAGTTAAATTTTCCAAAAATAAATTTGTTAGTCACAAATTTGTATTTGTTTGCAAATAGAAAATCAATTACAAAAACAAAATAAAAATTTATGGCATTCATGAAAGTTAATGTTTGACTAAATAAAAAACTGAATATTCATACAATTAAAAAACTTAAGTAAATCTACAAAAATAATGTAATTAGTCTACAATATTATATAGTAAATTTTATATTCAGTTATCCACTTTTAGCTTACAAAAATAATGCTAAAATGGCTAATACAATTCATATGTAAAGAAAATTCTGATGTAAATTATCCATCTGCTCAGATACGCATTTCGTAAATGCCCTAACAATTGTGATAAATGATTATTATTGTATAAACAGAGTTGGCTTCATAGTATGTGATCTGTGCATTTGTACACTTGTATGCTTATAATACTTTAGAGGGACTTTGTGCTTGATCAATGCTTGAAAATCCTACTGAATGAATGAAATGCTATCCAACTTGTGAAATAATGCGTGCACTCGTAAACTTTGCCTAGGGTACAAAATAACCTGGCACCGTCACTGTGTCTACGCATTGCACTGCCTTATCCAATCTTACAACTGCTAGCCATTTTATAAATGACTAGGTCCAATCTGCTGCATGCTCACAGACCACTAGTAATCAATGATCACACTTTGAGATTCACTACCATAAAAAGTGATTCAAGTTAACATGCATCATCAGCATTCTATTGAAAGAAAATTCTATAAGATTGTTATCCTAATAACTGGAAGATGTCCTTGGTACTTATCTGAACTAGATGCGGTAGACAGAGATAATATCCTTAAACACAACATCAAAACACTCATCTTGGAAGAAGATCAAAACATATTTTGCTGGAAAAAAGATATCTGTTAACTTTGAGGTTTCTGAACTTACAAATATTTCATGTAAACTAATTACAGCTATCATTAGCAAGCCACAAAAAAGTGAAAGATAAAACTGTTGACTGGAAGAGAGTTGCAAAGTTCTAACTAATTATGTAAATGTTAAATTAAAACTGGGAATAACGTTCTTCATCTAGTAGATCACGATCCTCCCATAGTCAAGGCTTTCCAGTTCATTATAGAAGGTGATTAGAGGTTGAAAAATATGGGTTGGAACCAATAGCTTATCCAGAAATCTTTAGAGAAGATGCGGAAAGAAAACCCTAAATCCGTTCCACTCAAACTACACAGAAAGTGATCTTGGATTCCAAATATTGAACTTAGTATAAATTTAGGCGAAGAATCGCAGAAATGCAAACAAATTCTCATTATTTTGTAAGGTTTATGTTAGCGATGACACGACAGAAAGAGGAGCGAAAATGTCGTCAATGAAAGCGTCACCAAAGCCAAATCATCATCATGGATATATTTATTTCAAAATAGAAATATCCTGACATTCCCACGCATAAAAACTCCGCAAGAAAGATGCTATAAATAACTCGGAAACAGACATCAATGGGTACGGTGACACCTAATGCCCAACGATATCATCCCCTCGACTGAAAGCTCGATACGGATGACAAAACACGATACCATTAACAAAAAACTGGAAACTCTCAGCAATTTTTTCATCAATAACACACAATAAAGCATTTTAAACTCATCTGGAATGTTTGCACTGGAAAGAAAATAAAGAGAAAGTGTAATTCGAGGCCACAAAAGTGGGCCATACACATGGATCGCTTAGAAAAAAAAAATTCTTTGTACAGTACGTGTTTACAAATATACATTCTTTTTTTTTAATTTCTAATTACAAACGAGTTCAGTTGCCATCTTTATTTCATTGTAACGCATTGAATAAACGTCAGTTATAACGAAATTGAAACGGTCGCCATTTTCTTTTCGGTCTTTAAAATTTTTAAAACTTCATAAAAATACGTTTCCTCTCGTTACTTTATTTCAAAATTCCGGGGAATTTAAATGAAGGACAGAAATTAAGTTCTGTGTAGCGCTTAAGCGACGTGTTTACAACGTATCTTAAATATCCAAGATTGTAATCATTGACGGATTCGGAGATAAACACCGTACAGACAGCTTCGTTAAAACTGTAAGCGGTTTTTTTCCCCCACTTATAAACGTCTTTCTAACAATAAGTAATAAATTAAGCATCAGAAAACCATTTCGAAAGACGATAATTACAGCTTTATTTGTAATTTACGAGGAATAAAAATGAAAATTGTGCAACGATTACATAGAAATTTGCAACTTTTTATATTACAAAATCAAACAATTTACAGTTTTTTTTTTTACAAGAGCAAAGAGTTTATTAATTAAAAAATGAGCAAATTAGAGATTTTTTTTACTGTTTTTATTGTTTGTTCCTCCTAGCCTTAAGACTGGTAAGGCCTATATGCAAATGTGGCATTTATATTTTAAAATATGGTAAATTTAACTTGCAAAAAAAAAACCTGCCTTATAGTCAAATTTACCATTTACTATACAAAAATACGTAAAATTTCCTTTTGATTTCGTTGGTATAATAACTTAGACTACAGGAAATGATGTAATTGTCGGGTTGTCATCGTCTTCCTTGTTGAAAGACAATGAAACGTGGCAACTATTTTTTTTTTTTTTTTTTGTTCTATGGCCTTGGTAACTCGAAACCCGACAATTCTAAAATATAGAATTGTTACACTTTAAAAAAAGAATTCGAAAAATGAATACGTTCAACAAATTATTTTCCCAAACGTCGCCATTTTGAACACGATATTTGTACAGCTGTTGAACCGTGTACAAAGAAACCATAGAATTGATCTAACACTTGGCTCCCGATCCAAAGATCGGAACGATTTAATTAATTATTTTTGCTGAAAACTTTAAAAAAAAAAGAAACTCTGCATTTTTTTTCGGACCGAAGCATCCTCCATTCAATAAGTTAAATTGCTTTTTTTCTGGTCCGCATCTTTTGATCTTCGTCTATGAGTTTAGCAGACTGAAAGGCTGTTTTTTTTTTTTCGTTTCTTTTCTTTGGAGAGAAGGCTTTTACTCCTTTATTAACTCGAGATACAAATAGTAACGGGGGAGTGAAGAGGGTGAATATGAAAAGATTGAAACTCTGCGAGTTGCAGGCGTGTAGAAGACGAGGAGAAGACGAAAGAAGGGAAAAAAATCGACATCTGCAGATCGCTCCCAACTTCTAGGCAAGAAAAAAAAGGAAAAAATATATTTCTAGAATAATTGGAAGACGTTCCGAAGGAAGGAACCAGTTCATAAAAGTCGAATTTCTCAGAAAAAACAATAAAGAATCTCTCGCACTGAAATATTTTACCATAGAATCCATTTTTTAGCGGGTTTTTTTTAGAATCCATTCCAATAAAGCAAAAGCATGCGAACGTACTCGTTACACAATTAAATGTAATTTACTATAATAAATAATTATAAAATTAAGCGATTTTCTACGTCTGAAATTGTGTGAACAAATTCTGGCGATTTTTAATTTCGACACGCCCGTTAGTCGGCTCTTTTCTCCGAAAACAACCGCAAACAAACACGGATTTTTTTTAGTGCGGTTTCTTCACATTCCACGCGATTCTCGTAGATTTCTGTTCTTAATTTGCAGTAAAAATAACAAAGCGTACCGAAGAAAAGAGAAGGACGTTCGAACGTTTGCCTTGACATTGAATGCGGCGAAGTGTTCTGGCGCCATATGGACACGTGCACATGTGCAGGGCATGTGTCCTCCGAAGACCTCATTAAGCGAGGGGGGAGTACAGGGATTTTACCCTTAGATCCAGCTGCGTTTTTCCCTACTCTCCTTCCCCCCTTTGGCGTACGATCGAATACATTTTTACGGTAGCTGCCCTCGTAACAGAAGCTACCGAATTCTTCTGGGACGAGCAACAGATTAGAAAAAAAAAGAGGTATCCTGTCGGGATTCTACAACAGTTTCCGGTAAGAGGAACGTGACACAGTAAAGGAAAAAAAAAACTGGGTCCTGGATATACAAAAACGCGTGAACACACCATCAACCAACGCCTCATTTTCTTCAATTTATAAATAAACGTTCAAGGAGAATATAATTCACGTCATTAATAGATTATTATCGTTATTTATCGTGCCTTCGTTAAAGATAATTGTAGTAAAACCCAAGACGTCAGGGGCACGTGACACGACCAATTCGACGAACTTCCCCCTTCGAACGACAAAGACTCGAAAACGTTATCTGAAGGTCAAAGAGTGACGCGAGATTTCTTTACGTCGCGTGACATTTTAACAATTTTGGATGAGTAAACGAGTTTCCATCTCTTTGTTCCCCTTTTGCTAAGGTTACCGAAGCGTAACTGGTCAGTTAGGGGTCTTACACTCGGTTAAACAACCTGTAATAACAGAACATTAGCTTACTCTGACCGCGGTTTTGCTATTTTTTCCCGTAAAGACACAAAAATTATTCGATATCCCCCCTTGAAGACGAGTTTTAAACGAAATTTGGAACTTGAACACTTCAAAGAAATGCCTACTCACCCGTAAATCTCACTTGTCCATTGTTCTCTTCAGTAGTAATTTAAATGGAACACGTACAAGAATTGAAAGCAAGATAATAAATGGAAACGAAAATTGTCCTACTGTTCAATATTTCCTTAGCAACAGCTAATTTTAATTAAGGAAGAGAAAGGAGGAACTAATAAATTAACTCGGGATATAATTTCTAAAGGAACCGAACAAGGAACTGTATAAACGTTGATAATGCAAAGAACGAAACCACGAAACTCGAGGGAGGATATTTTTTTAACAAATCGAAAGAGTTCAGCGCTTGTTTAACGTTTTCCAATGTTAAAATTTTAATTAATAAACGTTTGAGTAACGTTTCTGCCAACGTCAGCGAGTAAATAAGCGAGTATTTAAAGAAAGAAAAGAGTACTTAACACATTTTCCGTGCTTCGGAGGATGAAAAATGCAACAACAAAACGGGTTCAACGAATGTACAAAAGAAACCCGATTGTTTATTTTAAAATTTGGAACCGTCCAAGTATTTTCTCGTGCCCCCTTTTTAAGTGTTTATTAACGAAAGAGAGACCAATGGCCCTTAAAAAGAGATCCGATCTCATAGAACATCTCCCGCTTTCTTATTCATCATCGTAGCTCCTACCGTTTCCGACTGTCAACTTGTTTGTTTTCACAACTCACTTTCTTAAAAAGAAAAAAGGGGCCTGCGCTTACCAAACAGAGAAATGAATATTCGAATAATGGAAGTGCCGAAAATACGATACACGCGCCGCCACTTTCGAAGGTATTTACATGAAATCCTAGAAGATACCCGACAAATCCGAGGCGCATTTTCACGCGAAACAACGAAAATTTATGCCGGGAACCACGATTTTTTCCATAAATTTGGCAACTGCAGCATATTCTGAACGGAATTTAAGGAGGTACATGTAATAGATCTTACCCTTGTGAGCAGCATTTGGCCAAATACTGGAATCGATCCACTTCCCGTATCTCAAACGTCCCATCTTTTAACTTGTAAACGCGCGCATACCGACACAGAACGGCTCCTCCACGAACAGAGGGAGGTGTTACACTCGCAATCACGTGACACGGTGATAGAGGATGGTTTCCTCCTGGTTTACTATTACACTGACCATTCATTCCTGCGAGGAAACGCCTTTTACAGATAAAAAGAATTCATTTACGTTCAGACTGCTTTTTAAATCCGAAATAATTAAATTCTTTATTTAAATAACACTACCCGAGAATCGCTATTCTCTAAATGTGTAATGCGTGCTTCAGTTATGATATATTATACAATATCCCGTGGTATAGTACGAATCAGTGGCAGGCATTACGTAATTCGCAGCAGGAACAGATTTAGGTGAATCTTTATAGATTTTAGTACCTTTAAACTACGAAACCTCAGCAATGAGGGGGGTGTAAAAGCTATAGATGCACCCCTAACAACAGCCTAAGAGAGTATTTTCTTACAAACAGCAGGGGAGATTCTACGACTTGTAGCAAGAAAACCCGCTTTCTTTCTCACTCGAAATCACTTACTAATCCAAAATTATGAAGCTTTATTGTCAAAAAGGGTCATTTTTCTAGTGAAACAACAAAAAAACTCGTTGAATCGTACAAAAATCCAACTGATGCCCATCGTTGTCTCAGTTTAACACTTAACAGGGAGGAGATTCTTCGACTTGTAGCTAGAAAATCCGCTTCCATTCTCACTCGAAATCACTTATAGCTGGATCCTAACCAAACGAGAGATCAAAAACTCTGAAATTTTACGTAAAAACCGGCCATTTTTCTAATGAAAAATCTCGTTGAACCATACAAAAACTTCAGCTGATACCATCGTCATGCCTCACGTTTCATACTTTTTCTGCATTTTTTTTAATATCCGGAGGAAGCTGCATAATTTATAAAGCATCCAGAATACATAAATCTGATCCAGGAACACAAAAATTGGGGTGAATTTCATTTCCTTTCGGAACATCTCGTGTCTTCGACAAGGTGTGATACTTTGATCCTTGGAGTCATTAACGCAAATTAACTGATCTTGGGTCAATTTATAAACGACAGGATGTGACTAGGACGTCCGGTTAATAACGCCTCCGTTCTGTTTATAATTACGTTGCTGCTTACGTAAATAACTAGTCGTGGTTCCCCCCTCTTTCGAGCGAGGAGCGCGAGACAATTTTTTGATCAACTCGATACACTTTAATTGATTGAATATCTAGCAATTACTCAGTCGTAACGGCTGTTAGTGGCTCAAATAACAGTAAGGAGCACGAGATAAAAGGGATTTCTTTATTTATTAATGAAACACAGCTAAAGAATGTTTAGTAAATGAGAAAGTTCGTAATCTTTCCTGCCCTGTAACCGAAGCGCGTAGCGTGTCGCGTGGTCGCTTCGCATCGCACGCGAGTTACTGTATTTACTATCTACAATAAAAATAGTTATCTTTATTATCACATCCGTTTAATTGATCCAATTTAAAAAGGTAGAAACGCAAACTTTTATCTTTAGCTCTTCGCAAACGACATGCGATCGGTTTAACTGCGCGACACGCGAGAGCGAGCGATTTCTCGTGTGTCGCATCGCGTCCTGCATCAAACCTAAAAAAAAAATTATCATAATCGATTTTAACAATTCACACAACGGAAATGACTGTCAAAACGAATCTACACAGAGAACAGGATCATAAATCGTATACAAAACTCGATTTTTTAGGAAATAATTCCGAGAGCGACGCGACGTTCGCGAGTCGCAGCAAGCTTGAATTCACAAAGGCGAGAACGTTATAAGAGATTATCACTCAAAATTACGCTGCATTAACAATTCCAGAATTAACTTTAACGCACCGGGAAGCTCTGGTATGCGTTTTTTTAGCATTATAAGCCTATTTTACTGCTCAATTACGCACGATGATCCGCTTACAAACGAAACGAAAGCACCTCCAGAATTCCTCTCTAGAAATTAAAACCACGCTGTTGCAGAACTTTCCTAGACTTCAACAGCGAATCTAAACAAGCAGCAGGTTAATTTGTTAACTAGAAACAGGAAGGCGGCAACGAACAGACAAACAAACGAGCCAAAAATATGCAAACATATAAATTAACAAGAGTTCAACGTAAAATTCCCATCACAATTACACTAGAATTCCACAAACTAGAACATCAAAAATTCGGATTCTGTAAGAGAAATACTCTATTTATATATAATTAATGTAACAGGATAGGTCAGAGATATTTTTCTAGACGGGGTCGTAATTCATTACGTCATAAAGTATTACATAAATTATTGTACAGTCGGATTCTCGTATCCAGAAAAGGATGTCGACCTTCTCCAACAAGAAAAAAAAAAAACACTTATCTTCTCGTCATCTATGCCATATTTATTAATTAAAAAATATATATATAAATTAAATTTTTATAACTCTAATTCGTAGAATTTGGGTATGGTTCTAAGGAAGTAGAAATTAATTTCCTGTTTATCGCCCTTCCTATCTGTAATTATAGATGTATTGTGATGTGACGTTCAGACAACTTTACGTAATTTTAATGCCTCAGTTCGTGCCTATAAATATTTATAGGCACGAACTGAGGCATTGGCGAATATCTCACATACGTTTATCTTGTGTTTAAATTAATTTAAATGAGAGATTTTGCTTTTTTTAAATGCTTAAAATCCAGATATAATCGGTTCATCTAAAGAGGGATTAAGCATCTTTCTGTGCCTATAAATATTCATAGGTACAGAATGAAGCATTGTAAATATTGCAGCACGTTTCTTTTCTTGTGTTTAAGTTTGTTTAGATGCGGAATTTTGCGTTTAAATCTATAGAAAATGCTTCAAATCCACAGATAATCCGATTATCTCTGGACTTTAAGTCTATAGAAAATGCTCGAGAAAGATTTTTCACGGGGATTAAGCATCTTTCTGTGCTTATAACTATTTATAGGCATAAATCGAGGCATTGTGAACATTGCGCACACGTTTTTCTTGTGTTTAAATTAATCTAGATGAGGAATTTTACGTTTAAATCTATAGAAAATGTTTAAAAATCTAGAGACAATCGGATCATCTGGAAGAATTAAGCATCAATTTAAACGCACGAAGGTATCGAAAATTTCCATAATCTATTATAAAATTTCATTTAGGGCAGCCAATTTTTTGGTAATTTCATTCAAATCTATTGTGACTGGCGCCTGACTCATCTTTAATATTGCGCTCCATTGTGGAAACGGGTGACGACAGGCGAATATCTTAACTGCTTCCGTTTCCGGTTTTGGCACGTACTGAAAATCAGCAGACATCGCTTTCTTGGTACAGAAGTCACTTATGTCTATCTACTTTCGGCCATTTTTTAGTTAGAGTGGGTTCAATTGCTGCAGACAGACATACAGACACTCGAAGTCAAATAACATTTAGAACACTTCAGAACGTATGATGGCATTTTCTGTTATGTTAATTAAGAGAAAATAAGATAAGATGATGATGATAAGATCATCTAGAAGTATATATTACAGCTTCCTTCTTCAGGATTCGCGATGAGGAAGGTCAAAAATCGGAAATATAAGCAGAAATTCGCCATTTTACCTCCAGAGGGGCAAGATGACTAATACATTTCTCTACCTTATTCACTTCCTTACAAGAAGAATAACGTTAGGAACGGATTTAAACGAGCTTACAAGGGTCTTTAATATAAATAACGGCCTCAACACGTAACCGAAACGTTCGTCATCTTGCCTCACTCCACTCGAAACACTACACAAAAATGCATCCGATATCTCGTGATTTATCCCTCACAACTAAAGTATTCGACAGTTAATTAAGGACAGGAGTCGAGTCAAAGGTCACCCAATTTGGGAGGGGTCTCGACCCCTCCCAAATTGGGTGACGACAGTGAGTGAGATCAGCTAATTTAAATCAATTCGTCACGAACACGTGCTTAATTGTTTGATAAACAGCAATTAACACGAAGCACGAGGAGGGAAAAACCTACAAGTCACTTTCTTTTTTTGCATATCTGTTTGTCTGTTTGTTTGTTTCCTTCACCCCTAATTACTTTCAATTTGTTTTGAAGGACGAATGAATGCAAATCGTTTCGAGAATTCCAAACCTCGTGTTTTTTCCTTTAGAAAAAAAATCACCATTTTTCCCTAAATTTAATTCGGTTGAAATACGATTTAAACATTAATTAATTAATTAACTTAATTACATTTAAGTAGTTTTAATTTTAATCTAAATTTTTAACATTAAATTTTAATAATTTACAATTTTCTTTGGATAAATAGTTGCAGATTTGTATAAATTCCCATTGAAAATCATTAAGGTTATGGGGATGAAGCGTAGAAACAGTTATTAATTTAAAAAAGAAAACCGCTTCTTCGAATTAAAAATATTATTTTAACTCGAAAAATCACGTAAATATTTTCTCATGCATCAAACAAAAGGCGTGGGAAACTTTAGATTATTGAACTAAACGGATGTAAGGGGTGAGGCAAGAATACTCCTCCCTACGCAAATGGATCAAACCATGAGAATATTTAATATCTACGTTATAAAAAATTATAATAAAATAATATAAATATGTATTTTTTAATCGCTTTAACATGATTTTTGTATTCTTTTTTTTTTAACGGTGTAAACTATATTATCGTGTGCAATCTCCCCTCCTTTAACGCTTTCTTTGGTGAAAAATCCTCTTGGATTGCTTGCGTCATAAATCAACTTCCCGAGTGGTTTTCCGTTCAGAATTATAACAGAAACTGTACTAAAAACTTAATGGAACCAACTCGTGGATCAAATGGAATGAGGTTCGATGCTTCAAGGACAAATTTGGGGGTTCTTTGCTGAAGTTTCTCCGTCGAAATGTAAGGGGGAAAAAAAAAATAATTAGATAAGTGAAAGATACTGACAAAAACTTGGCCTTCAGACGTCGAAAAGAACCTTTAAAAAACTAAAATTGGTCATTTCGGACGTAAAAAACAGTTATTTTTCCTTTCTTTTATTGAAGATTTATCCATTAAACATTTCGATTTTATTCAGAAAAGTCCTCATAAAATTTATTTTTGTATCAGATCTAAAGATTTTTCGATTTTACTGAAGAATCCTCCACAAAATTCCCCCAAAAATGCAAACAAAGTTATCATCCTGCAATTACAAAAAACGTACACCAAGTGAGAAATATTCAACTCCATAACCAATTAACGATAAATCCATTAATCTAAGATATCCAAAAATAAAGAAAATTCAGGATTTATTTATATTTTTCTACAAAAATCCATAACCTCTATCAATCTTCTCGAGTAGTAGTATCATTTTAACACTTAAAAAAACGAAGAAAACAATTAAATTTTGGTAACAAGACACTCGAAAAGTCTCGAGTGTCGCCCATCAAACGGATAACGAAGAAGCCATTGTGCCTTTAACACGTAACAAATTGCCACTAGCGGTCAATGATTCCATATTCGATTGTTCCATAACCCAGTGATAAAGATCCCACTGCGCATACTCAGTACTAGCAAACAATCTAAGAAACACCGGATGAGTCTGGCTTGGATAAATAAACCCTGTAAGGAAATCGAGAACGATTTTCTATGTATAGAATGACGCATCTGTGAAAGACCCGCGTATTGTAGACGAAGGTGAAACAAATTCCCATATGTTACCCCGGATGTTATAGAAGGGAATTTAATAATAAACATTTACTACAACATCTTCATGCCCGTCACGTATCCCTATCGGTTTTCTATATCTATTTACAGGTATTTTTATGATGCTCTTACGCGTGGTTCCTCCTTTACCAGGTTCTTACGCGTGTGGTTTCTTCTTTATGACGTTCTTCTGCGTGTTTTTTTTATATTGCTAATTAATTATTACGCATTTATTTGTAACTTAATACTTGTTTTGTCTACTTAACTGTAATTTAAGTGTATATTTTTTAAATGAAATTTTATATTCCTGAAGCACATTTTTGTATCGTCTCGTATGACATATTATCGATGGTTTCTTTAATATTTTTTTAAAATTCTAGCATCAAAGAAGTGTAAAATTTGACATTTATACGAAAAATTTAGAAATTCCATTAAAAAATTCGTTACAAAAGTGATTTGCATAATATCCTCTCGGGTATTTTTGCTTACACGAAGCGTTGTTTATTTGTTAATGTTCTATACAAATATTTTTAAAATTCCAGCAATAAAATTTACAAAATATATAAATAATTATCTATTTTTTTCCTCAATTTTATAATGATTTTTTGAAGAATTTCTTTATAATATAATCCCAGACACGAGTTATAGACAGCAATCTCATCCATTTAAAATTGTCTGAGTCATTAACAAGTTATCAGCTACATACGGCGTGTCTGGTCACTGAAGCACTGCAATTTTTTGATTTTTTTCTTGCCATTTTTGATGTAAGGTAGCCTTATTTTAAAATATAATCTAAAGAATAACGTCGCCAAACCAATTAACTTGTTGAATATCCTATCAATTACAACGTGCCTTGTGTGGCACATGTTCGGTACATTGAAGCATAATTTGGGTATTGTCATGCTTGAATTTAAAATATTTTCGAATAAAATTCTATTAAATTATCAAATTTAACAGCATATTTACGCAAAATCATGAAATATAACGATTAAATGTATAGAAAAATCGTTTAACGATGGCATTCGAGGTATTTTATTTGTTAAATGATACCTCCAATTAAAAAAAAAGATTAAATAATTTTTAAATTCGTGAATAGCTACTTAGTATATATAACCTTTTTTTATTATTATTATTCAAGATAAAATTACAATATTCTATCTCCTATCAACAAACACTCGTATAGAACTTCCATGTAAGTTTATGTTGCTGTCAATCATGGTTCTCTTTTTTAAATTTTTATTTTGACTCGAAACCATATGAATTCTCTTCTACATTGTTATTAGAAGAGTGTGAACAAAAGAATTTAAAAATGTTTATCATCTAGCAGCTGCAGGAAGTGCCGTGTATCTATTATACCTTTGCATCTTTCCAGTTTTTTTATGGCATCGCCGGTCATTTAGGCGTGTGAACCTCGGAAAAAAGCTTGTAAAATAAGCAAAAATATCGAGAACTTTTGTTATTTAACATAGAAAAACCTCCTTTTTTTTCTATCCGAAACTTTATTTTAAATCAAGGACGGATAGATAACAGTTCCTAACATTAAAAAAAGAAACTAAACGTTTGTTGCAATGAATGAGTAATCATCCTCCGCTGCCATAGGTTGCATTTCAGGAACGATGACGAATTGTTTTTGTTTAATATTAATTACTTCTTTGTTCCTCTACATGATTCATTAATTAAAACAAACTGTATGCAATTTAAACAAAATATACTATCACCCCCCATAGAGAAGTTTCTCTAAGATAACCTCATTTTATCCTCATTAATGATTATGTTAATTATAATTAACGATTTTAAAATCGTTTCTGGAAGCATTTCCAGTGTTTAAATCGTGTGTTTTTTTTTTTCCTCCAATTCGGTTCCTTACGCTAAATGCTCTTAATAAACTGTCGCTTCGTATGAAGGCAGTTACGCATTAAACACCGTTTTTTCGAACACCACCTATGGCATACCCTGGAGTGATAATTACCAGAAGATATCTCCTCCCAAAATACTAAGCATACCTTCCTGTTGTAGGGTCAATTCATGAAAATTTATAGTAAAATTCGTGAAATTGATACAGTACTTTGCTTTACAATCCGTTAAAATTGCACCTTTGTCGTGTGCATTTCTCTGCTCTTAATTGTGTACTGTACGTGCATACTTCTAAGTACAGTTAATTAAATACGTTTTGTATCTTTATCGGTTATCGATAAACATTATAATTAAGTAGGAAATTTATTAAAGTTAAATATCGTTAACGAAACGACTTAACAAAGCACGTTTAACAGTACATAATCGCGTTTACACTTATCAAATTCTCTTCCTCGTACAATATCCTTCCATCGTTAGAAACATCAAAAATGACGACTTCTGTTCCTATTTACAACGATTTAAAACGGTTTTAAATAAGGAAATTACACTGACGTCAAGAAATCGAGACGATTTGGCCCTAGTAAATTAGGCCATTGACATCAAAGTTCCGGCATTATTTCAAGAATCGACAGTACAAATTCGAATGACAATAATATTTTGGGGCCAACGAAAAATGATTAAAATAGGCAACTTTTATGAAGAAATTCTCAACGATCGGGTTGTAAATTTCATATAAATACAGTACTTAAAGATTATAATTTCAGCCATTTTAAAAAGTACAATGCACTAAAAAAAATTTACTTTTTAATACGAATTAATTAGTTAAATATTCAAAAATTTCGACACTTACTTCGTTTCGTGATGTCTTCGCCACTCAACACGTGTTTTATGACTAAACTACAGTCAACACTACTCGACCCTCTGTACAATGCCGTCTGGTGTTCGCTGCAAGTACTACGATTCGATAATCACTTTCTTTTTACGTAATTGTATGACACCAATGACTTTTCCTTCCTTATTGAGAAATTCGACTCTTGCCGTTAAGTTAATTCGTTTTATGCTGTATATTCTGTGACTCATATTTTACCTCTTAACGGTCGCTAAAATTAGTCAAATTTACAGTTACTAAAATGTAGTGTCATCGTATTGACATAGAAAAACTCTTCGGGAATATAATTCGAGGTTTATTTGTCAAAAACTGGCCTTT